ATTTTATACAATAAATATAAAAAAAAAATCGTCCGTGGCATCATTTTTATAAATAATGGCTCCCCTTTCTCCACCCTCCACCCCCCTCCGAATAATAGTAATAATTACTATTATTATTATAAAAAGTTACGAAAATAGTTTTCTTTCTCTCTCTCTTTCTCTCTATTAGTTAAACCGTTTAAAATTTTTCTACTTTTAAATTATTAAATCTACGAATAAAAAAATGTAAATAAAAAGATAAATAATTATTAATTAATAAATAAATAAACTTCTCGTTTTAATTTATGTACATATTTTTATTTATTTATTTATTTACACGTAAATCAAACACAAAATTTTTTTTTTTTTTATGGAGGAAGTTTTTTCTTTTTTAAATTAATAGAAAGTAATAATAGAAATTTTAATATTTTTGTCACAATGTCAATTTTATTTATTTATTTATTTATGTATTATTAATAATAATAAATAAATTATTTTAATTTTATTATGTAAAACAAAATTTTTTTTCTCTCCTTATACTATAAAAATAATAATAATAAAATTATTTTAATTATTTTAGTTTTTTTTTTTTACTAAATTATGATAAAAAAAAATGATAAGAAATTTATTTGAAACATTCAAAAATGTTAATAATAATAATAATAATAATAATAATACATCAAAATAATAAAAATTTCAATACGGATATACGTAATAATAATAATAATAATCGTACAAATTTAAATCCTAGAGATTATACGCGTAATAACAAATTTAAAAATGGAAAAAAGAAAAAAATTAAAAACTTTCAAAATGAAAATAATTAAAAATTTTATTAAAAGAGAGAGAAAGAGAGAGAGAGAGAGAGAAATAAATTATAGACTATATTTTATTTTAAAAAAAAAAATGGAAAGGATCTTTTGAAGAAAATAAAAAATAGAAAAAAAAAAATTTTAAGAAAGGAAACAAAAACGAAAACTTTTTTTTTTCTTTACTTTCTTCCTCTATATAATAATAATAATAAATGAAGTTATTATCATTATTATTATTATTATTATTATTATTATTATTATTGTTATTATTATTTCTCTTTTTTCGATTTAAAAAAAAAAAAAAAATTAACGATTAATTCGTATATGTTTACTCATAAGAAAACTAAAAATTCGTTTTATATATGAAAAACGTGATAAACATCCGCCATTTTTATTTTTACCTCCCCCTCTTATTTTTATTTGAAAAATATATTAATAAATAAATAAATAAATTTATGTGTGTAGAACAGTAAAAAAAACTAAAAAATTAATTTTAAATAATTTTAAATAACAAAATGAAATCATTAAAATTTTCGCGTGTGAGTTATAGAAATTTGTCGCAAAATTAAAAACTTATTAAATATTATTATAAAAATGGCGACAATTTTCCCTCAACTCTCTCCATTTTCTTTTCACCGTTAAATTTTTTTCTTTTATGATTTATCAAATGAGAAAACATCAATCGAATATTTTTTAATCGTATTTTTGTAAATAAAAAACAATATAATAACCAAAAAAAAAACAAAAATGAAGAAGAAGAAGAAGAATAACAAGAGAGAGAGAGAGAGGGGGGGGGGAGAGAGAGAAAAGAAAAACAAAAAAAACAAGTTTTTACCATTTTCCATCTGGGACATTCTACTTCTTACTCATAAAAACTCATTCAGGTATTTTTGACCTCAAAACCAAAATTTTTTTTTTTTTACGTTAATATTTTGCAAATTTCATACGTTAAAAAAATAATAATAATAAAATCTTCATTTAAAATTATTATTATTATTATTATTATTATTAATAAAAACCATAAACAAAAAAAAAAAAATTCAAAAACTAAACGAATAATAATAATAATGATATTAATTAAACAAAACGTCTCGAAATTTAAAATTTAATGTATCAAATTAATAATTAACGCCAAGGTAAGTAAAAATATTAATAATAATAATAATAATAAAACAGTTTTTCCATCGAATTTTCTTTTTTTCGTTTTTAGAATATCACGTAACAAATTACGATGAAAAATAAAAAAAAATAACAAATAAAATAAATTTTTTCAAATTAAAAAAAAAACCAAAATAACTAAATAAATAAATTTTAAAATATTTTAATCAGCAAATAATTATTATTATCATTATTTATTTTTAATAAGTTTTTATTAAATTTGAAATATACGTAAAGGTAAATTTTAATTTTGTGGCCTAAAAAAAAAAAAAAAAAAAAAAAAATTTATCAATTATTAACTTAAGTAAGTGTAAATTAATATTAGAGCTAACTAAGCACAAAAAATTTACGTTGCTAAATTTGCATAAATTCCGCCATCTTTTTTTTTTCTTTTACGTGTGTAAATTTGAATTGTAAAAAAATAAAAAAAGAAAAGAAAACGTTTTGCGAATTTTTATATAATTCTTAAAAGTATTTAAAAAAAAAAAAAAATTGGCAAATTAATTAATTAAAACGAAAGAAATTTTTTTTAAAATTAAAAATCAATCGATATAATCGATCGATAATTATTAAACGCTTTCGAAATTTATCAACAAAAAAAAAAAATTTTTAATTTCGTTTTTTTACGATGATACCCACCCGATCCAACCCCCCCTCTCCCCGCCCCCCGGTAGAACGAGGGGAGGAAAAGAGAGAAAAGGGGGTGGAAAGGAGAAAAAAGTTCGTTGAAAATCAACGAATGATTTTATTACATTTCACCTTTGACCTCCCTAACCGTGAAAATATATATATTAATTATTTAATATTCACGAGACAAAATTTATTATTATTATTTTTTTATTTATGTAATAATAATAATAATAATAATTGTAACAAACGCCGAAATTTATCATAACGGTAAATTTAAAAAATAAAAAAAAATTCTAAATGTTTAATTCATACCTCGTGTTAGAGAGAGAAAGTGAGTGAGAGAGAGAGAGAGAGAGAGTAAAAAAAAAAAAAACCTTCGATACTTTGATTGCACAAATCGAAAAATACTAATAATAATAATAATTCACGGATTGAAAACTATTGAAATTTTATTTACAACTCGATAAATTATTATTATTATTATTATTACAATGAATGTGAAGTAATCAAATAATAATAATAATAATAATTATATGTAAGAGAAAATTATTTAAACAATAACAATAAATTAAATGATACGAGATGATAAAAAAATTGAGAAAAAAAAAATAACAAAACAAAATTAAACACCATCATCATCGTCATCATTATCATTATCATTATCATTATTATTATTATTATTATTATTATTATTATTATTATCATTATTATCAAACGATTTTTTTTTTATTAACGGTTTTAAAGCCTTCAATTAATAATATCCATAAATAATCGGTCGTACGTCATCACAGTCTTGCACATAACAAAAAGAAAAATTTGATTTAAAGTCAGTTTGTAAAAGAAAAAAATAAATTTAAAAAACTTTAATTTTTTTTTTTTAATCTTTATTATTTATTTCGTACATTATTAACGTATTGAATAATAATAATAATAATAACGTTTTAACATCGTAATTGATAATAATAATAATAATTAATTTACAAAAATTTTGTCAAGTGAAAAAATGAAAATTTTTCCCCCATTTTCTTTCCTTTTTTTTGTGGACCTTTTTATTATTATTAAACAAAAAAAATAATATTAATAATAATAATAAAATATATAAATTTATTATTTATTGGAAAAAAATATATTTCGGTGGTGGGGGTGGGGAAAAAGGGGAAAATTTTTTTATTAAAACTATTTTTTTTACGAATAACGAACGGAATGTTTTGTTTGTTTTCTTTCTTTTTAACTTTAAAATAACAAAAAAAATGTTTTTAATATTATTTTGTTTAATTTATACAAAATCCTTTCACGACATTCACTTCCGGATCCGGAAAAAAATTATCATCGTATCATTCTTACAAAAAAAAAAATAATAATAAAGTTGTTATCATCGTGATAAAATTTTTTATTTTTATTCTTTATCGGCCCAATTTTTTATTATTATTGTTCGATTAATAATATATATATATAAATAAAAAAATTTAAAATTTTTCTTAAGACACGAATCATCCATAATTATTACGTAATATTAAATTTTAAATATAAAAAAATATTATAATAATTATTAATTTGTTCTTTAAATACTTTAAATAATAATAATAAAAATAGTTTTAAAAAAAAATACGTCGTGTGCTTTTAAATGAGATTAAATAAAATTTTTCCTTTTTTTCTTTTATTTTTGAAAAATATTTTTAAAACCGTTAAAATTTTAAATTTTCCGTTTTCCGTTTCTTCTGCTAATTTTTACGCGTTTTGTTTACGTTTAATGCAACGCCATCTTTGATTTATTTCATAAACCAATACAAAGTAAGAGAGAGAGACATCTATCGGATTTTTTAAAAAGTTTTAACTTTAAAAAAATAAAAGAAAATTTATTGCATTCGTTTATAAGCAGCGTACCCCGATTTTATTTTTTTTGTTTTTTAATTTAATTAATATGCATGGCATCGCCATAGAAATTTCTAATTTAATTATCGTTATCTAATTAATTATGGCACTAAATCCAAAATTAAATTATAAAATTAAAAAAATTTCATTTTTATTTATTTTAAAAAAAAAAAAAATATCAAACGCTTTTGAAAATCCTATCCTATCCTATCTTATCCTATTTTTTTTTTTTTATAACTTTTTTTTTTTTGCGTCATTGCAACAGTCGTAATAAATCATATAAAACTATTTTTAATTTTTTTTTTTTTTTTTTCCCCCCGTTTAATAATAATTCTTGGCAAATTATATCGAATTAGTTACTGTAGGAACGACTTTACTCAACGTGAAAATGTGAGCAAAATTCAATTAATTTCAGCCTTTATATAAAACGAATTGTGGAAACGTGTTCAAAAATGATTTATCGATCCATCATTTTACATCCACAATTTTTGTTCTCCATCAGGGTAACCCATTTAACACGCTTTTTTAGAGCGTTTAAATTTTATAATGTCAACTTAATATTCCAGTTTTAGGATCGTAAAATGAGATTCTCGATTTTAAATCCGGAGATAGACTACTCCAAATTGTTGCTTCGCAAGGCTCCAGATTTTTGTATGACCCTGTTAATTTTCCAGAGCCTAAAACTTGACACGTTTCGACGAAAGTATAAAATCTAAATGTAGAAAAAAAAAAAACAAAAACAAAAATAAATAAAAACCCGAGAGAAAATTATTAAATTAAAAAAAAAAAAAAAAGGGACGTGAGCTTACTTATTGGTAAGCGAATCTATCCATTCCTTAAGATCGGTACCGATTCTTTTTTGGTTGGCCAATGCTAAGGAATGTTTGGATTTGTTACTTTCCAGAGATTTGCTCCAGTGAATTTTATCTACGCTTATACGATACTCGCTACTTCCTCGATGCAACAAGCTAAAACAAATTTTGTAAACATTTTTTAACACCGAGTAAAAAATTTTTTCCATTATGATCCATTAATAATTTACCTCGCTTGTTGCAACGTCACGGGAGTCGATGCGATAAATTCCATGGGAATGACTAGAAACTCTGTTTCAGCCACAAGAAATCCATCGTGATAAACCTTTACTTGCCATATTCCGGGCAACAAAGGTGTGGGAATAGAAGCTTTTGCTGATCCCGAATAAGTTTTCCCCTGCTTTTAAGTTAAATTTTTTTTTTTATTTAAATTTTGATTTGTTAGACTTATGATTGCCGCATGAAACAAAAACATACCGATGTCTTTTCTTCGATTCGTGCATCGAGAACTTGAGCTAATTGACCGGCAGGATCAACAATTAGGAATGTCAAATTATAATTTTTTTCAACGGTCACCGTATACACGACAATGACGTCAGAGAAAAGGCCAAGGTTTCCAATAAGATTACGTGAAACGGATTCTTTCAAATCAAAATCGGATGCTACTTTTACATCCTTTTAAAAAAAAAAAAAAACCGGGTATCAGTACTCGATCGGTACTTTTTTTTTTTTTTTAAATAAGATGTATATTACCTGTATGAATTGACCATTTTTTTTATCTATCAGTTCGAAATGTGATTTTATTTTGAGCCAAGTTTCAAATTCCATTTCTTTTTTAGTTTCGTTTTCGTAGGCACTGTATCTCATTAGTAAACCCTTTAATAAAAACGTCATATAAATTTATTAATTAAATATCTATTTTTTTTCATATTTTACTTGATTAATTTTAAATTTTTTCTCACCTGGAAAATATCATCGTGATGATAAGAAGTTATTTCTATCACGTCCTTAATTGAAATTTTCATATTATTTTGTTTTATTACATTTCTTCCTAAACTACTTAGAAGAGAAAGAACGCTATCATCCCTATAAATAAAAAAAAAATAAAAAATATTAATTAAAAAAAAAAAATTATTTAATATTAATTTTCGTTTATTTAATTACCCATCATCTATTGTACATGAAGCGGGAAGGAAAAAGCAGAAGGAAGCAGGATTTCGGGTTTAATGGAACAATGATCATGAATCAATCACTTTTTCTTCAAATATGTGCCAAATTTCATTCTGTGCGAAAACACCAACTATTAAATAATAATAATAATTTATTTCTTTTTAAAAATTATTATTTATTATTATTTTGTTCAATTATTTACCGAGCAGGGGTTAAATCAGCGAAATGATACATGCTTTGCCAGTATCCCAACATTTTTGTTAATTCAATTGATGGTCCGTAAACCCATTCTTCTAATTTATTAATTATTGCTTGATTTATTATTGCTTCAAATTTTCTAGCAAAGTACAAATGATTCGAACTAGTAACCTAAACAAAATTAAGTTGAATAGATTTTTAGACAACGTTTTCAAAACGACTATCGTTACGTATTGTTCATTGTTCGCAACGAATTTTACGAAAAACTAACCGATATTTTTTGCCAATCCTCAGGTTTAAAATCATTTGGACTGCACCCACACCAATCAACGATGTGTCTATATTGACATTTGCATCCCAAATGACGTTTCCAATTGGTCAAGTGCAGATTATTATCTACGTATGTATCACAGAATTTGGAATTACGAAGAACGGTGTGGAAATAAGACTGTAAAATAATCAGATTTAAAGTTAATATACAAAAAAAAAAAAAAAAATACAAAAAAAAAAGAAAAAAAAAAAAAAACTTTTATTTACTTCAGCTGGTAAAAGAGTATATTGGTAAACTCTGTCTAAACCCCGTAACAATTCATCACGATTTTCTCCAGCGACATATTCTACAAAAGATCTAGATAATGCCATCCAATCACTTCCTCCATCCATCTAAAAATTGTATAAAAAAAATAAAATAAAATAAAATATAAATATTTATTTAAACTATTTTTAAATTAAAATTTTACTTGAATTCCTAAAGGTAATTTTCTATCTCCTATTCTCCACATGTGTCCATCACACTGGACAAATGTTTTATCCAGTCCTTGCTTTTGTATAAATCTTTGAATTTCTCTCCCGGTTGATTTGACAAAATTTTTACCTTTGTTAGCCGTCAAAAAATTCACGAGGTTTTCATTTTTTCTGAAAACGTAATAAAATATGTTGTAATAAATATTACATTTGATTTTTTATTTAAAATTTCCGTAATTTCTCACT